CCCCAAAACCCCAAAACCCCAAAACCCCAAAACCCCAAAACCCCTTCAGAAAATATAGATACTGAAATTTAAATTTTCTGTACAATTTTATTTCAGCATAATCTTAGGTGCTAAGATGCAAGCACTCCCAATTGCAAAGCCAACTCCTTCTTGTGTGATCGACTCTTCATCAATTTCGTAGTCCATAAAAGTGAGGAGGACAGCTAGTATGACCTTTAGTTCAATCATTGCAAAAGTTTGGCCAGGACATGTCCTAGTGCCATGTCCAAAAGATCCTTTGATAAAGTGATTATAAGGCTTCCCTTCAGTCTTTGATTGATTAAAAAAGTCAGAGTCTGGATTATGTCTTTCAGGTTTAAATACTGAGGGATCTTTCCAGTATTTCTCCATATAGTGAACGCTATGAATCTCTGTCCTCATAATAGTTCCTTTAGGGATTTGTACATCTCTTATAGTTATATCATCTAATGCAGAATAATGAAATACTTCAACTGTTGGACTGTCAATTCTGAGAACCTCCTTTATGCAACAGTTGAGATAGTCACAGTCCTGAATTATATCTAAAAATTTCCTCCCAGACTCTGAATCTTTTTGAGAAAGGATGAATTCTTTTGTAACTCCATTATCCTGAAGTTCTTTGACTAACTTAGTATGCGTCTCTGGATGCTTTTTGAGAAAGTAAAGTGAGGAAAGAATACCATGGGATGAAGTCTCAGTTCCACCAAAAATCAACATCATAATGTCGAAAAATTTATCATTCTCTGAAAAATCAGTGTTCGATAGGATCCTTCCACAGATTGAGTCTGGCCCTTTGGCTTTGTAAAAGATTTTCCTCATTGCATCCTCGTAATTTGTAAGATTTTTATGGTCTCTCTTAAAAGGATTAAGTAGTTTATAATCACTGACAAATCTGAACATATTAGTAAGAGGATGAAGCAAATGCATGTAGTAAGCTTTAGAGAGATTCAGTAGAGCATCTCTAATATGAAGATATTCTATCCTTCCATCTGGGTGTTCATAAGGAATTTTGTCATTCACCAAGTCATCACAAACCTTTCCAAAGAGGATTGTTGTGAATATCCTGTGGGTCAGCTCTGCAAATTTAGGAGTTAAGTTAATCTGTTTACCATCTTGAAATTCATCAATAAGGGATAGAGTATGGTCTATCATGATAGGGGTATATTTGGAGGAAGAATTTAAGCTTAGCTCATTCATCAACAATTTTCTTCTTCCAACATACTCTTTCTTACTCCTGATCATACTTAAAGTATTCCCGGCTAATTTAGAAAGTCCTCTATAGATTTTAGTTAAAACCAAAATACTTGTTAGAGTTATAACGATCGATCTTCATGGGTGTAAGTTTGATGAACTCTTCTATTGCTTCGCTTGAGACCATTAGTAAGACCGGCTCTGTTCCTTCATATCTGAGCCTCATATCGTAATTCTGGAGATCATCTGCAATAACTCTTCGGTTATGATAATGAGCTCTGTCACTCTTCATATCTCTGATTGCATCAAGTACATCTCCAATCAAAGGGCGGAAGGAAGGACTGGTGTATACATTAGGGAACCTTTTAAATCTCCTATACACCAGGTAGGGTTTAATTATCAGTACAATTACTGCATATGCCAGAATACCTAAGATTCAGTACAAGGTGTACCACAAGGTTGAAGATAGAAGGCCTGTAACCAAAGATACCATTTTGTTAGAAATCAATTTATTTTTTATATCAAGGGGTTTTGGGGTTTTGGGGTTTTGGGGTTTTGGGG